ATGCAGTGCAGCGGAAACTCGGGCTGTGTGAGGGCTAGGTCACCGAGGACATATATACGACTCTCGCCCCCTCCCGTCTAGACATAGACACGACTCGCTGCTCGCTCTCCTCATCCGGATCCGCGAGGCGTAGCACCGGGCGGCGGGGCCGGGGGGGCGCGTGTGGTTTTGCATTTTGGTCATGGGCATGGACCATCAGCATTCACCATGGTCGCCACCACCAGTTAAAATAGACCTTGTGTCTCTTTCTCATCTGAGTCCGATCTATTGTGAGCAAGAGCCTTTGCGCGGCTCTATCTAGAGAGAGATGCGCGGTGAAAGCACAAACGTGGCTGCTGCTTGGAGAAGAAGTCGCTAAGCAATGGGCGTCTCGCTCCGCATGGCCACGAGCGCGTCGCACGCCGCCGAGTAGACAGCAACCACGTCGCCCGAGAGAGTGAGCACCCGCACCTCGTCGCCGTGCTGCGTCTGCCGCGGCAAGTCCACGCCTACAGTCGGGCCGCGCCAAAAGTGCCGCCGAGCAGCGGCACGCGCGTCCGCACTCGTCGCTCCCCAAGTTCTGCGCCGACGCCGTGCTTCTCGCGCAGAGCGCGGAGGCCGGCGCCCCCCTTGCCAATCAGCCGACCCACCGCCTCTCCGGCGAAGAGCAGCCTAGCAGGCCAACGCGCGGCACGACTCTGGCCAGAGAAGTTGGGCGGAGGAGTGGGGTGGAAGACGTGGCGCAGAGAAACTCCCGCACCGGATCGTGAGCTCCGGCGGGCCTGCCCTGGCGGCGGCGGCGGACGCGGCGGGCGTGGGGGCGGCGGGGTTGACGGCGGCGGCGGCGGCGTCGGGGAAGCGAGGGTCGATCACGACATCGGACCTCACCGCCTCGGCAGGGCGGTCGGGCGAGCCGAGCTTGCCGCAGAGCAAGCCTGTGGGGGAAGGAGGGGCGCGTGGCGCGTGTGTGGCTACGGCGTGTGCGAGGCGGGGGGGGGGGGGGGGGGCTCGGGGGCCCCCGGGGCGAAAAACATAATCCGGAAACCTGAAACGGGGTACCTAAGGCCCCCCCCCCGCGGGCCATTGCCCCCTCCCCGGGGGAAAATTTTTCGGGGAAAAGGACCTATGCCTAATGGGGAAACCTGAAACCCCAAAAACCCCCCCCCC